CTGCCAATGTGGGACACGGGACTCTTAACCAGCCCATCTCCACGTTATTTTTGAACACCTGAGTCTTAAAGATTGCTTTAAATGTTATTATCTTCACCATATTTATTCCAAAATAATGTACATTATCATATGGCATGGTTATTCATGTTTGTGGTGATATTTAATAACTACTACCTTAACCTGGTTTAAAAAAAAAAAAAAAAGGTGGAGTGGCCAGAGTTTTACAAAGGAAATTCCTACCTAGTCCCTTACCTTTACGTGGTAGGCACTATGAAGATGAGTAACAGCAGAGTCAGACAACATCAGTAAGCTAAAATGGTAACAAAATGGAGATTTGTACATAAGCTTTTTTTTTTTTTAACTCAGAAAATGTTTCTCTTATTAAATTCTTCTATCTAGCCAATACACAAATGCATTTTCTTGGAATGACTGCTTCTCAGTCAGATGTGCTAGAGTACATTTATTCCAAGGGCTGGTGTCAAGTTCAACTCTGCCTGCCCACCATTGTCCATTCTGTCTGATCTGAATTTTTAATTTTAAAAACAGGGGTCAGTGTTGTAGCACAGCTGGTTAAGCTTTAAGCCACCTGCTATACCACCAGCATCTCATATGAACACCTGCTGGAATCCCAGGTGCTCCCGTTTAGATCTAGGTCCCTGCTAATATGCCTAGGAAAGGAGTGAAGATAACCCAAGTGCTTGGTGTTCTGCCAATCCATGGGTCAGACCCAGATGCAGTTCTAGGTTCCTGGCTTTGGCCTGGCCCAGCTGTACCTGTTGCAGCTACCTGGGGAGTGAACCAGCAGATTCAAGACACTTCTCTCTGCTTTCTTTTTTCCTCTCTCTCTCACATTTACGCTCACCCTCTTGCTCTCTCTCCCTGTCTCCCTCTGCAACTCTGCCTTTCAAATAAACAAATCTTCAAAAACAAAGAAAAACACCAGCCACAGTGCACCTAGGACTAAGCAGTCCAGTCAGTACACTCTTTATGTATATGTATGTATATAAAGCACACATAAACAGAAATCAAAAAAAGATTAAACATTCAAAACACTGTGTTAACATGTTCGGGAGTTAAATTATGTGGATAACAAAACAGATTTTAGGAAGTTCATAAAGTCTCATAACATGTGTCTCCTGCCACGTTGGTTAATTTTCAGATATACATCAAACTTTATGGAGTCTTGCCATCTCTCGTGATCACAAGATAGCAGATTTCTACTCTTGTCCAATAAAACTGCAAGTTACCAGAAGAACTTAAAAGCGTTTGGCTGGGATTCCTTCTATGAGTAACGGCCAGGATATCTTGCAAAAAATTTGCTTATTATGGGCGGAGGTGATCTTCCCTATAAAAACATTAAAGATTACTTTAAATCACCAGCCACTACTGCAAAATCAGTCTTATGATGACAAAATCTAGGAATAAGTAAATTTACAAAGAACACCAATTCACTACCAGACTTTTAAAAACATTCTTAAATGGTTTTTAATTTTTTTAATTTTTAAATGTTTTTAAACATTGATATCGTGATATAGTAGGTAAAGTCACATCTGCAACACTAGCATCGCCTATGGGCTCCTTTCTTTAAGTTTTTTTTTTTTTTTTTTTTAATTGGAAAGTCAGATATACAGAGAGGAAGATCTTCTGTCTGTTGATTCACTCCCCAAGCAGCAATGGCTGGAGCTGAACAGAGCCAAAGACAGGAGCCTGGAGCTCCGGGTCATCCTCGACTGCTTTCCGAGGCCACAAGCAGGAAGCTGGATGGGAAAGCAGGGCTGTCAGGATTAGAACCAGCACCCATATGGGATCCTGGTGCATTCAAGGCGAGGACTTTAGTCACTAGGCTAACATGCTGAGCCCATAGTGTCCTTTTTGAGTCTGCTTCACTTCCTAACAGCTCCCTGCTAATGGCCTGGGAAAAGCAGCAGGAGATGGCCAAACTGCCCCGGTCCCTGAAGAGACCTAGAAGGAGGAGACCGAGAAGAAGCTCCGGGTTCCAAGTTTCTGACTGCCACAGCACTGTGGCCTTCTGGCAGATACACCACTAGACAAAAGCCCTCCCTCTCACTCATTCTCTCACCTCTCTCTCCATAAATGTTACCTTTCGAATAAAGAAATAAATTATCTTTTTAAAGTAAAAAAAAAATATGTAAAACATTTAGAAAGAAAACTTTTCCTTTTATTTGAAAAACAGAGACACAAAGAGAGAGCTCCCGGGCCCAGCACGGTACTCTAGTGGCTAAATCCTTGCCTTGCAACAGCTGGGATCCTATATGGGTGCTGCTGGTTTGTATCCTAGCTGCTCTACTTCCCATCCAGCTCCCTGCTTGTGGCCTGGGAAAGCAGTCAAGGGCAGCTCAAAGCCTTGGGACCCAGCACCTGCTTGGGAATGTGAAAAAAGCCCCTGGCTTTGGATTACCTCAGCTAATCCACTTGGGGAGTTGCAGCCACTTGGGTAGTGAACCAGTGGATGGAAGACCTCTCTCCCTCTGTCTCTCCTCTCTCTAGATCTCTGCCTTTCCAATAAAAATAAATAAATTTAAAAAATAGATATATGTTGGTTCACTGCTCATAAGCTTTTAGCAGTCGGGATGGTACCGGTCAAAGCCAGGAGCCCAGAGCTCTGATACAGAGCTCCCACATCATGGCAGGGACCTGACTGTAAGCATCTTCGAGGGCATCCCCTGCTGCCTCCCGAGCTGCACAGCAGCAGGAAGATGGAAATGAAACAGGGACCAGGTCTTACACCCAGAGAGGCAGAAATGGGTTGCAGGCATCACAAACGGCTTCTGAAGCACCACACTAAACACTCACTCCCAAACTGCCTTTTTTTTTTTTAAAGATTTATTTTTATTTTATTTTTATTGGAAAGGCAGATATACAGAGAGGAGAGACAGAGAGGAAGATCTTCCGTCTGATGATTCACTCCCTGATTGAGTGCAACGGCCGATATTATGCCAATCCGAGGCCAGGAGCCTCTTCTGGGTCTCCCACGCCGGGTGCAGGGTCCCAAAGCTTTGGGCTGTCCTCGACTGCTTTCCCGGGCCACAGGCAGGGAGCTGGAAGGGAAGCCGGGCTGCTGGGATAGAACCGGCGCCCATATGGGATCCCGGGCGTGCAAGGCGAGGACCTTAACCACTTGTGCCACCGCGCCGGGCCCCAAACTGCCTTTTTAAAATAATAACTATCCCCGCCAAAATGCCGCCTAAGCTAGAGAGAAAATCAACCGATACCTTCGACTTAGAATGTGTAACACTTCAGACATAAAAGCAATGTGTCATCTGACCTAAACACAAGGCTGTTAGCTGAGTCTGCTCTCTGCCCACCAGCCTTTAGGCCAACACTTCTCCAAAGTCATGGAGGCTGCACCCCTCGGCGGAGGGCAGGTCACACCAATGACCTGAAGTAAGATAAGCTGGGCCTCTGTGCCAATAGTCGATTTCTTGAGTACTAATTCTTGACAGCATGGTAATGGTAATATACAAGTAAATGGCTTCACAGAATAACAACATAATTTACATTTACCAATTTCTAGCCAAATAGGCACACATGCGTCACTGTCATCCCCTGGGATTTACAACTCTCCCTCTTTCAATGCACTGATGGGGACAAACAGCTTAACGAATAAATGCAGGAAGCGCAGCCACCAAACTCATTCTATGCAGCTGCTTCTCCTGGAATATGAAGACGCAAGGTGTCTGGGATGGGGCAGGAAAACTGGAAAAATAATGACATAAGTTCAGTAAAACCAAAGTTGTATTAAAAAAAAAAATCAGTGGTGCTTCTGAAGCTAATTGTGCGTTTCAATGGCGCTCCAATTCACTGTATAGGTGTTTGAGGTTCCTCTCCCATAGTCCCTCAAACCTAGCCATTTACGAGAAACTCATCCAAGTTGAATCAGTGACTTGTGGGGAAGAGAGGCCACTAGAGTCGGCCGTGTGCTCCGGAAATGTGTAACTGGCACACCAGGCAACGACTCAGAGAACACACCTCCTCTCCCTCCTCCCCCCACCCACCCACCCGTGCTTCTCTTTCAACTTCCCCTTAAGGGGGTGGGGAGAACGCGGGCGGGACAGTCACAGAGACAGTTTTTGAAAATTCACGAGAAAAATAAACAAAAGCACCCAATCACGTCCAGCGACGGGATTCCGGCTGGGGGTGGGGTGGGGTGGTGGGGGGAGACTGGATGCCCAGCGAGGACCACGCTCCTGGAGGCTCCGCGAACTCCTCCCGGAGGTCCAAGTTTGTCTCGCACCCTTTCCCCTGCACTCACCCGAGCGCAGGAAGGAGAGGGGTTGGCCGACGCGGCCGGAACCCCGCGACCTGGAACCGGGGCCCTTTTTTGGTAGCTGGCCGTGCCCTGCGCACAAGTGTCTGCATCCGAAACCCGTCTCGGCGCGCGTGAGCGCCAACTTTGCGGGGACCCCCCGCGCCGCGCCCCTCCGAGCCCTCGTCCCCCCCACGTCTCCCGGGTTCAGGCGGCGGCTCCCGGCGTCCTCACTAACCCTCCTCACACGCCCACGGAACCGAGCCTTCCCCCCCCCCCTTTGCCTAGCAGCGGCAGCCAGACTGGGGGCAGCGCGGACTGTGGTCACCTTCCCCAAGAAAACGTGGCGACGAGGGTGTGGGGGCCTCGACCCTCCGTAGCCCCCCGGCGTGTCTCCCCGCAGCCCAGGCGGCGCCCGGGCGAGCTCACCTGGCGGCTGGCGGCGGCCTCCGGGGCGGCCTCTGGGCGTGGGCCGGGCGGGGGTGGGTGGCCACGGGGGGCGGCAGGGGCCGCGGCTGCAGCCGGGGCCGCCGCCAGCCGCCTGGCCTCGCCCCCCACACGCGCCGGCCGCAGCCGCCCGCGGGGAGTGCGGGGAGCGCGAGGAGCGCGGGTCCGGCGGCGGCGCGGCGCGGCTCAGGCGTCGGAGCGGGCGGCCGCGGGCGCCGCCGCCTCCTCCTCCATAGCTGTTTACCCGGCTGCATTGTGGGAGTTTGACCTCCGCCGCCGCCAACCGCCGCCTCAGCTTGCGCCGCCGCCGCCGCTGCGCACGCCATGGGAGCCGTGACTGACGGTGAGGCTCCTTTGCTGCCGCCCGGGCCCGCTCCCCGACCCCCCTGGCTTCCTTTGAGATCTCCGGCGGGGGATAGGGCTGTGGGGGAACCCCTCGGCCTCCCCGGCCGTTTCCCTCGAGCCCTCGGGCCTCGCCGGTTTCTCTCGGGAGCCCCAGGCCTTCCCGGCCGCTGCAGCGAGTCCCTTGCCCTCTTGCCGGAACCCCTCGGACTCCCCGGCCTGCGCTGCCTCGGGGCGCGCGGGGACCCCCGGAGGGTGTGCCGGGAGGATTGTCGGGGGGTTGCAAACACAGGGAAGGGGTTCTAGCTGTCCAAGGGTGTGATGCAGGTCCGGGGTTGGTGAAGCCCGGAGAAAGAGGAGGGCGTGGGGCTGGAGGACCTGCAGTGCAGTGGGAGTTCCAGGAGTCTGGGGATCGGAAAGAGGGAGAGGACCTCCGGGTAGATTGAGACGGGTGCGCGGTACCACGAGGGTGGATCGTGGATGTGGGATTCTACCAGTGGATTTGAGCCTGGGAGATGTCATTTTGGAAGGCAAAGATGGGGGGGGGTTTCTTCCAGAGAGAGTTTTACTAGGTCAGGAACCTGTGTAGGGCACGGGACAGCAGAGGGGCCTTCTTAGCTGGAATGAAGGAGGGAGGAGGATGCAGAGGCCAAGTTTGTGGACAGTAGAGTAGCAGTAAGGACACCGGATTTGGGGAAGGGTAAACAGCCATGATGAGCAGACTGGAGGGAAGAGGTCTACTGATAACTGGGAAGGGATCATCTAGGAGTGTTGGCGTTCGTTTGAGCAGCTGACTAGTAACTGCACGCCTGTGGGTCCCCAAACTAGAGATCAGGCGATGCAAAGAACCGGGATGGGATCAAATTTGTGCATGGATAGGAATAGTGAAGGTAGCAGGCTTTTCCAGGCTCAGGGGGAGTTTGTAACCTTACTCCCTTCCAGTTTCATCTATTCAGTAGAAAATTCTTCCCCAGGCTAAACCTTGCTGGAAGTAAACGCCAAAAACCAGTAAGACACACCTTTTGCCCACACTGAGGTTACAATCTGATAGGAAAACCACATTATTTAAGAGTTGTTTGTTTGTTTGTTTTACGATTAGGTTTTTTTTATGTAGTTGGACTAGAGTTCTGGGAGGGAAACCACTTGTGCCGAGGGCCCCTACATGTTGGAGTAACTCAGCAATCGCAGTATTGTGTCCAGTTTAAAAAGCTGGGAGCCACTTTTAAGGACCATAGTAAGACATTAAAGGCTGGCAGCATCAGCCTGGTGCAGTCAGCTTGGCATTACACACATTCTTCTGGGTGAACTGTGAGGGGAAGGCAAAGTGAGGAGCTAAGTGAGTTTCTTCTCCCCTTACTAACTTTTATATAGTGTTTATAATGTGTTTCAAGCAATGTTCTCATTCTTATCCCCATCCTACAGATGAAAGTGGGACATCAAGAAATTATCTGGTCCAAAGGCACAGACATAGCCCATGTCAGAGCCTAGGCAAGCTGGCTTCAGAGTCCTTGCTTTTCCCCTCTTCTACCTCTTGTCTTTGAACTACTGCCATGATGGTCCTGAGGAAAGATCAAGGAAACTCCCACCAAAAGAGGATGCAGACAGCCGTGGACACGCAGGAGAGAGATGGCTGAGGTAGCACGGCAGGACTTCAGTGGACAAGTGGGTGTGAGGGGAGGCGTGGAGGCCAAGCCTGCCTTTCTGACCTGAGGGACTGTGCCTCTTAGTCCGACTTCTCTGATGGTTAAGGTAGAGAACTCCAGACCAGTGGGAGCTGGAAGATGTGTCTGGTCAACGCTCTTGACTGCGGTGAAGTGACCCCACACCCCCACATCTTGGAAGTCCACAAAAATCTGCACTCTGCCACTTACTGGTTGTCTGACCTTGTACAGGTTAACTAGCCTCTTTGAGCCACAGTTGCGTTCCCTGTAAACGGGAATGATAATGAGAATTCCCCTCAGAAGGCTGTTTTGAGGATTAAATGCAGTAAAGTAAGAAAGAGCTTTGCACTGAGTCCTATATGCCATTCTGTTCGATATCTAGTACTAAACTGAAGTTGTGCTGGAATTAGATCTGTTGCTAGCTGCTCACGTGGCATATCGGGATGGAGTTCCTGGGTCCTGGCTTTGGCCTCGCCCCTGCCTGACTATTGGTCATCTGAGGGATGGACTAGATGATAGAACGGCCTGCTTGCTCTCTCTGCTGCCTTTTTACAAAAAGAAAGAAAGGAAGGAAGAAAAAGTATTTTATTTGAAAGGCAGATTTACACAGAGAAGGAGAGACATAAAAGGATCTTCCATCTGCTGGTTCATTCTCCAAAGGCTGGAGCTGAGCCCATTTGAAGACAGGAGCTGCTTCTGGGTCTCCCGCATGGGTGCAAGGTCCCAAACACTTGGGCCATCCTCCATTGCTTTCCCAGGCCGTAAACTGAACTGGATTGCAAGTGGAGCAGCCGGGTCATGAACCAACATGCATGTGGGATGCCGGCGCTGCAAAGTGGAAGATTAGCCTGTTGAGCCACTGCACCAGCCCTGGTCACTACCTTTCAAAACAAGTTTTTGTTTTAATTGTAGGGTATGTGGGTAGTAGGTAGCTCACTAAAGCAACTTTTCTGTTTGTTTGTTTATTGCTTATTTGTTGTAGGACTATGTTGACTGAAGAGAAAAAGATGAAGTACAACTTTTTTTTTTAAAGATTTATTTATTTTTATTGGCAAGGCAGATATAGAAAGAGGAGGAAAGACAGAGAAGATCTTCCATCTGCTGGTTCACTCCCTAAATGCCTGCAATGGCGGGAGCTGAGCCAATCTGAAGCCAGGAGCCAGGAGCTTCTTCCATGTCTCTCACACACATGCAGGGTCCCAAGGCTTTGGGCTGTCCTCGACTGCTTTCCCAGGCCACAAGCAGGGAGCTGGATGGGAAGCAGGGCCCACATGGGGATCCCAGCGCATTCAAGGCGAGGACTTTAACCACTATGCTATGGCTCCAGGCCCGACTTTTTCAGATAATTCTGTGAACATGATTTTCTTTAGCTGAGGTCTCTTTGGGGAAAGGTGGAAATGAACTGAACTGAGTGGTATGTGATCAGTGGTCAAATACCTAATGCATACCTTGTAGGCGCAGTACTAGTGGTAGTTTCCCTGAGCTCAGGCAGAGGAGGACCACTGTCACTTCTTGGGGGAAAGTTACAGTTGCATGCAAAAAAATGAGTAAATCAGGTAAGTTTTCAGCATGGAATTCATGTAATCATTATATAGAGTAATAGGGTAGAGCTGCCAATTTTAGGTTAAAATAGGCATCTGTTCGTCTTCTCAGGAAATAGCCCCCACCATCTAAAGGAGTGCCCTCCCTCAAAGAGAAGGACAAATACACTGTATTGGCACCTTCAAGTTAGGATGCAGCATTATAACCATCAGCAGCACCATCCACCTGGCCCATGAAGAAAATGGAGATCCTGGGAAGCCAGTGCTTTACAGTCACACAGCTAGTTAGTGGCAGACCCTTTTTCTGTCCTCACACTGCCACCCTGACGTTTTGGCTAACCCGAAAAACAGTTTAGATGTTGTCACTGTTAATTTAAACTATGCCAACAGTTTACATTTTATAGGTGTTAATTTAAAGGGCGTTAAACAGTGTTAGTACCCTGATAGAAACCATTTCAGAGGCGCTTTTTGCAGTACAGAGAGCATTAGATAGATACATTGATACGCCAGAGCAACAGATGGGAGAGGAGAAGGGAGGTGCGATATGGCTCTACCCATTTAATGGAGTGTGTTGGTTTCAATGGGCTTTTCTTATTGGAAAAGAGTAGTGCATAGATAGATGCTTGTTACAACTCAGAGTAATGGTTTTACTATGCCTGTGAACACATGACAATGATGGACTTCCCTGTGACTTTACAATGATGGAATTGTGCCTATTTTCCTATCAATACAGAGGTGACATTACTTATCTGTAAAAGAAGATAATGGGATACACGCTGTAGCTTGCATAATATGTGTAAAGCACTTTGCAGTTGAATGACCACATAATTCCCTGTCCAAACCAGAAGACTTTTCAAAGTGAAAGGAAATGATAAGTAATGTTTCTTTAGCCAGATAAATGTTTTTTTTAAAAAAAAAAAAAAAAACAGAATTGGAGCCTCACTCCTGTCTTTGTTAACACTAAAAATGTTTCAATGGGCATGGGGAGAAAACAGACTGCAGCACTAATTTCTGCTTTTCTTTTTTTATTTTTCTCATTTAATTTTGGTTTTAGTGATTCATGTTGGCATCAGTTGCCTGTTTAGGTTGGCCTGAAGGATCTCAGATCAATATTTACTTGGAGCTATCAAACCATCTTATGTATTGCTCTTTCCATCCACCCTTTATGTGTTCTGCTAATATTGTTGACCTTAAAAATTAGTTTGATAGGCCCACTGCGGTAGCCTAGTAGCTAAAGTCCTCACCTTGAATGTGCTGGGATCCATATGGGTGCCCGTTTGTGTCCTGGCATCCCCACTTCTCATCCAGCTTTCTGCTTGTGGCTTGGGAAAGCAGTCGTGCACAGCCCAAAGCCTTGGGACCCTGCACGCGTGTGGGAGACCCAGTAGAGTCTCCAGGTTCCTGGCTTTGGATTGGCTCCACTTCAGCTGGGTGTGGTCACTTGGGGAGCGAATCAGTGGACAGAAGATCTTCCTCTCTGTCTCTCTGCCTCTCTGTATATCTGCCTTTCCAGTAAAAATAAATAAATCTTTAAAAAATTAATGATATTTAAGCTTGGAAAGTAGAGGCAGTGTTATTTTACTTAAAGGAATCTGACAGATGGGTCCGCATAATTCATCTTAATAACTTGCAGAAGTGATGATTCAATGATACATCTAATATAAAATATTATTTTATATGACATCTCGCCTCTTATTATCAGCAAAATACTTTTAAGCAATCTTTACTGCTTTTTATACTATGGAGCAACACCTGCCAGAATTACTGGTGCCAGGATACCTCTGAAAGTTCATGGAAAA